ACTATCCAAATCGCGATAACCTTAGAGAAAATCTTCAAAAGCGGTTTGATCTCCTGTTGATCTCAATGAAACGTAACTGATCGCCTTTAACTAAGTGGAGAGGAGACGACGTGTAATTTGCCAAATGCACACTTACATGGAATTTCCTCCAAACAGAGCTTTTTCATCAGACATTTGCAAGTCATTCGATACCTCAAAAAACAGCAATCTCAGTGCTCTGCTTGGTAAATTAAACAGGCTTTCTTGGCTAGCTGTACGTCAGGGAGGTATGATTGATTTCTTTGTGCTTTCTTTCTAGGAGAGACATTAAAAGGATGAAGTTTTCGATGTTGATTAATCCCTGTGTTGAGGGACGTGTGCATTCACTAATTTTTAATTTCGTTCGAGATGACTGAATGCATAGCTGGTCTTTACAGTGACTCGCGGTGGCTTACCGATGTACCAAGTCAGAGTTGCCTATCTCAAAGAACAAGTTGGCGACCAGTCTGGTACTAATTTACGGTTCATATATGTTGGACAGGGACAAATGAATATCCGACTCAATCGCTGATCAAGAACTTCTCACACTAGTGTTAGTAATCAGACAAAAGCTTAAATCTTTGGCTAAAACGGTAAGCGGACACTTTTTGAAGAGACATTTTTGTAACGCTGTTGCATTCAAATGAAACGATGTTTTACATCGGCAGCGCACTTCATTTTTTACTTCGCTGGAAGCACAAAAATTGCATGAAGGTTTGTAGGAAATCCTTCAGCACCAGAGTCATACGTTTGATCTGGAGTTTCTGTCAAAGCGTAGAAACAGTTCCTGATTGAGTAGCAAAACCGCATTTCACAACTCGCAGAAGAGCCACCAATTGGAGCTCATGTCAAAATCGCATCACGGCATACCTCTTGCGCTGCGCCTCCTCACCCCTTGAATTAGCGGAAATACACATGCTCGTATATGTGAATCAATCTTATTTTTCCTCCCAAACTGCTAAAAAAGTATTTACAGAAAATAAGCACAGCGCTGGAATAACTGAAACTTACGGTATCGATTGACTATTAATAGATAAAAAAGAGCTCTGTACTGAGAGAAAAACACGTATGTGAGGCACAAATGTTTCCTTTTCGTCGAAGGGTTATAATAGGGTCTTACTGAAAATCGGCCCCGTATTGCAAAAGCAAAGATTTAGGCTTTCGTATGGTTACTAATACTTTTATATAAAGTTTTTGCTCAACGAATGAGGTTGAATATCTATTTCTCCCTATCTAACATATAGGTACTCAATTTACGGCCCCGGAATGGTGGATGGCTTGGTGAGCTTGAGCGCGAGATCGAACTATTAACCTTGTGAGAGACGCAGGGCACTTCTAACCACGCTATACATGCGCTTCTTGGGAGAGACTTCAAGAACGTTTTCCGGAAAACAAAGTGAATCCGTTGTTGACTCAACGAGGGCTAACGAAAAAAAAATCTTACTGAATGGCGCTATGATGGAAGTCTAGTGGCGTTAAATTAGATACAGGACTGCTTGGATAACATTAGTTGGCCTGGTATATTTCAATGGACGTTATACAACTTGTATATCGCCAGTTTGGCCATGTATCTATATATATATATATATATACATATATATATACATATATATATATACACATATGTACATACACATGCATAAGTATGCATGTATGTATATATATTCACATATGCATATATATGCATATATATATATATACATGCACATACGTATATGCATATATACACGTATGTATATACATTCGTATGCGTACATATACACGTATATATGTATGTATATATAAATATAATAAATAGATTAGTTATTGCAGATGAGAACAGCAAACTCTAGGTGGAAAATGTAATTCTATCCAGAAAGGTGTGGACGATCTAAGGATTATGACATGAATTTTTTGAAAGAACAAGAACGGAGAGGAAGCTTAAATCGGAGACATTTAGGGCTTCTCAGATCAAAACGAATTAAGGTAGCGATCTGTACCTGTGGCGCAGATGTACCTAGATGCGAGTATCTGCAAAAGATTTGATGATCCAGAAGACATAAGTCACTTCATGAACGCATTAGAAGAGACGAGAAAACGTTGCCCATTTCAGCCGTCGATAACCCACAACTGTTCCATGGAACATGAGACAGTAGAAGGAGGAGTCACTGGTGTATGCACACATCACAAAAAAATCATCCATCATGGAGCAATACCGCCCTAGACCATATCCGATGTTCAAGTCAACATTAAGTTACAGAAAAGACATAATCGAAGCCTACCAATTGAACAAAACCCCGTTTGACTTCCGAAGACCCAACCTGGGCATGGCTAACTGGCAAGTGCGCTCGCTCCCAGCGTGGGAACGACTGCACCTCCTCTCTTTACTCGGCACACGTTCGTCGGGAAGAATGTTGTTGGTTCGATCCCCTACCACAACACTTCACTGTACTTTTCGTGATATCTTTTTGTTTTCATTACAATATACTTGATTCACTGGCACACCAGATCACACCATATCTCATGTAGTAAAACCGTAACACAAGCAATCAATGTATATATTCATTTATTACCATTTGTTATGTGATATGTAAATATATTATATTGTTACAAGCTGCAGATTGCTGAACAAATGAGGTATAACAAATATACATTGATAGCCTGTTTTACGTCGTTACTATATGAGATTTGGCGTAAATTGGTTTGAGAGTGATTCGAGCGTACTGTAGTGAAAAAGCTAGCAGCAAAGAAAAAAAAACAACTAGTAAGTGCTGTGATAGGGGATCGAATCAGGAACCTTATTCGCAATGCGTGGGGTGTCAAGTGGCAGAGAGGAGATGGGGCCATTCTCACGCTGAGGAAGAGGAAGTGTAGCCGTTTCGACGCTGGGGGAAGAAAGCCCTTGCCAGTTTGACAAGTCCAGTTTGGGTCGTCGGAAGTCAAACGGTCAAAAAGGTCAGAGAAAAAAAGCACACACTGATTCAAAAAAGTTACGTTCTACACTTAGGCGTTATTTGTACACATATATTAGGTACATATACATGTATATGAACATGTATACTATACACGGGTTTTATGTATATGTGCACATATACACTCATAATTACACATGAACACATATACATATGTATATACACATTAAAGACATCATTCTTAACCGGCGCGAATTTGGTAATAGCCGTAATAGTAGCAAATCGATGGCTAACGTTAACTTCACCTTCCTCAAAACCTTGAGTTACGTTGTATTAGACTCCTTGGAAAATTCTGTGAATTATCGGTGTCTTTCATTACCGCTTAGGTGCTCAAAGGATTAAACGGAGGAAAGGCGAGATGTTATGCGTGGTCGTCACGCAACCGTCCAACCTGTTCATTTTGGATTTACAAGGCCTATCCAAAACGCTTGAATAATTTTAAGCATTCATGCATTCAACTCCTGTGCCAGGCGTGACAGTTACTAAAGAATCATTATTGTTGTGCTTTTGCGCCGTGTGTACTTATAAGTGTACGTTTATGAGTTTAAATTCATAATCTCGATGTTCTTTTATGTGGACACAAAGTGGTCTATCCGTTTCGCCTATGTGTGCATCACCTCATCCCTTATATGACATTAACTATATTGTGCGCAAACTCATACAAACCCCTTCCCTGTTGTTAGAGCAAATTAAACATTTCTCTCAGTAACAAAAACGATCACAAAAGCAGTTGCAGACTAGCTAACGACGCAGAATGTTAGGTGGGAGATCAGTAACTGCTACAGAACTTTTGAGGTCGAATTTTTTGAAACGCCTTCTATTAGTGCTACCAACTTCTTCAGATATAAAGGATAGATCGGAAAGTATCCTATCAAGGAGCAATTAATGCATTAAAGTCTGATTCTACCCTTAGAATTGACCCGAGAGCTAATGATTTGTAGCCTTTAGAACTGATCACTTTTTGTGCAAGTTTAGCGATTTCTTCCTCTTCTTTTTTCACTGTGCCACACATTTCGATCTCCTCGGTACATGTTTTCTATGAGTTCCTTCTTCGCTTATGAAGGTTGAGAGGAAAAGTTTGAACTAAAACGTAGTTGTTTGAGCCGATCGACTGCTGTTGTTGATGATGAGCTAGTATGGAAAGCATTACGAATAGTAGGCAGACGCTTCGGCGATACCGCCTTCTTCAGAGCATGGTTATTTTAATCGATGATGAAATCGATGCATCCTAAACTCTTGAATCAAGTTAGATGATTACACGCATGTAAGGTGCCAAGTCTCGTGATATAGTGATACATTCCTCCTGAAGATTTTTTTTTTGGGTTTACTATGCTTACCTGAAGCGCATAAAGAGTTTTGCGTGTTAATGATTATGGCCCTAGTGCTATGATGCTGACGAATATTTTGAAACCACTGCGGATTTTTGTGCCCTATGCCTAGCAAGTCCAAAAGGAAACTAGTTACCATTTTTGAACATTTAAAACTAATAGAAAGGGGCGATAGCCCAAAAAGGTACTGCAACCTAGGTATAAATGGAATCAGTATACTAACTCTCTTCTAATCCAGAACACTTAAAAAAAAAACACTTATTGAGAACCTGTGCCAAACGGCCATAAATGAATGTACAGTAGACGAGGCGAGGAAAGAATCGCTAAACTTGGCGCAGCAATCATCTAACGTACACGGCTACGGTACTACCGCCACCAGGGTCAGTCCAATTAATAGGATCAGGCCTCAAAACAATCAAAAGTAAAACTTCGCACATCAATAAGGTTGCTCCTGAGCTGCCTATCATATCAAACGAAGTTAACTGCGCTATAAAGGAGTGCCTAAAGGATCTTGAAAGTTCGGTGACAGTGATCGAAGATCCACCTCCAACTCTACGCCGTCAACTAGTCCGCAGTCGCCTTACGATCGACTGTGTCACTCAGAAAGATACAGAATCTACTTTAACGGGAGTGTGAGGAATTCTAGAGTTCCGGCACAATATATTCAATAACCTAAGAGAACTGAGTGGTGAGCAAAGAATACGACCTCGGACGGGAGTCGAACCCGCGTTTCATCCATACCGAGAACACGTGATACCACTACACCCCGGAGGTAGGTTCTTATGAGTTCCCCGTATAGATGAAACGCGGGTTCCACTTCCATCTGAGGTCGTAATTTTAGTCACCACTCAGCTCATAAGGTTTATATGAAACATCATAACACTGCGAAAAAAGCAGTAAAAACACTAGCTTTAACGAATATTGAATAACATGTAAATGCGGAGATGCGTCTTTCGGCGTAACAGGTGGACCACTCTACTAATGCATAAAAGTATACGTAGAAAGAAAATCAAATTTGATAAAAGTACTCTTCTAAGTACACTTAAGATACTAACACCGCCACAATGATTTTGAAATAAATATCACATCCTAGCACAGGAGCCAAAGTACCGACGCGCACTTCTCTCGAAGCGTTTTGAATGAACACAAAAAAACGCAAAAATGAACCGAAAGGACGAATGTGTCACGGCAACACGGGACCTGACATTTTACGTGCGCCCAATCTTCTGACTTGATTCAGCGAGAGGTGATGCCTAGGCATCGATTCCGTCACCGACTCAGACGAACACAAGGTACGTCCAGGATGTGAAGGTGTCGTCGAAACTACCCACGATTTGTACTGCGAAGTATACCAACTCAACATTGACATTGACATTAACACCAACAACAGCTCAAGCCCGCTCAAACCGTTTAGCAATCGATACTCGTATTATTGACTTTGAAGCTGAGGTTAGTGAAACGTCGATCTTTCAAATACAATCGACACACAGAATCTGAAGAAAGCGGGGTCCTCCAAACGTTAGCCATCTTAGCACCATTACTACGACTGCTACTACAACAACTATTACCAACCTTGCGTCAGTCAAAGTCTTGAGGATTTACAGAACTTACTCTTACCGCTCGTGAAAAATCGTCAGGATTTTCGGAGCGATTCGCAGGAAAATCGGATCGATTCGTAAGACCTGAAAGAAAATAAAAAGGATAGCGTCGAGATCGAACACACAAGCACAATCATTCTAAACCCGCATTATCCCATCCTGCTTGTTACCAGTTTTGCTTACGGAAAACTGACTGGCAAAGGCAATAGGAGCCCCGACCCGATTAGCAACATAATTAACTGCGTCCGAGGGCACTGACAAAGAGACAACCAAAACAAGGACACGAACAAAAACAGCTCGCATTCCTGAGAACTATCCAGATCGCGATTATCTCTAGGAAACTCCTCGAAGACGGTCTGATCTCTCGTAATATGCGAATGAACGCCAAAATAATCAATTTTTCGGTGAAGAAGAGGAAAAAACTGTAGATACAAAACATGGAAAGAATACTTGGCAGACATGAGATGAATGTGATGGTGCGCAAAATATGAAGAGTGGCGAAAGTCCCGCGCACTTCGCTTAAAGGGGCGATCTTCTCAGATTGCCGCTGGAGCGCAGTTACTTTCAACTGGTTATTACTGACTATCGCATTGATATTGTAGGACGAGCAGATAGCATAGATGAACGGAAAACTTGATATAAGAACAATGAAAGGAGTGTGGAAAGACCGAATTTCGTATAATTCCACGTGAACAATAGTACCTAGCAGATCTTAACTTATTTTAGCTAAAGCGAGAATGGCTCAATTTTTCTTGAGTGGTCGTGCTCTGACCCGCCCTCGGACAGGGTAAAATGCGGGTTCGAGTCGCGTCGACGCTAAAGTTTTATAAATCACACTTCATCATTTGGTATATACTTGACATCACACCAGAGCTTAGAGCGATTCAATAGAAAGATATTTGTCCTTCCATTCAATTTGTATTCTTGAAATCTTTCAGACACCCTGAGGTCTTGTACAGTGGTGACAAATTCCAGTTCACAGATAGTCGCAATCCTTGCGTAGCAATCAAAAACAAAAAGCGGTTAAGTTCTCGAGATTCTTGGATGGATTTTGAAAATGCAGAGACGAATAGAAACCAAGAGTGTGCGGTTGTCAAGTGTGATATGGAGGCCCATTAACTCTGATGATTTTTTGGGTCCGAATGGGTCCTTTGCTAAAAAATTGTGAACAGCCTATGATGAACTTATCGAACCAGGAAGTTCGACGATGAATATTTTGACAGACACACTTTTGAAACTGGGATGTATTTGAATCATTAGTCGGCTCTTGGAAAGATAATGCTGTGACAGCACCGACGAAAATTACGACCGGCTCGCGGAATGTCTTCACGTTAGCGCTATGAAAGCCGAGAGCCTCAAAATTACGAAGAGACGTTTGTCTCTGCAGACACTTGAGCTGATATGTCAACGTGGTACGAGTCACAGGCAACCGAAACCTTACGGCCGAAAGTGTAAAACGCTGCAGAGAAGCGATATGTAGGCCCCAAAGAGAGACAAGCAGCGTTATGGCAAAGGCTGCAGAAGCTGGGAAGAGCATTCGCAAAGCCCAGCCATGCTTCGCCAATTATAAGACTAAGATGATTGCATTCCGATGCCCTGACGGGCCACTTACAGCTTCCATAAGGGCAATGGGGAAATTATCCACCAATGCTACTTGGATCTCTTCGCTACCAATGTCTTCTTACCGTCATATAAATTGAAAGAGGACGAATATGTCGTCCCACCAGTCCTCCCTTCCGAAATCCTTCATGCTATATCGTCGGTGAAGAACAGAACAACACCTGGTTCACACAGGACTAGGCCAGTACTTCTGAAGAACCTACAGCCAGTTTCCATCAACAGCCTGGCTCAGCTCTTCACTCGCTACCTGTCAGAATGCAAGGTTCTCATTCAATGGAAAATTAGCAACACCGTTTTGTTGCTCAAAAGAAAGACCTTTCCAACATAGGCAATTATGGCCCAATCTGCTTGTTGTCCGTCGTCTATAAACTCTTAATTTAGTTCATCCTAAACAGGATTAACAGAACACTGGACGAAGGCCAGCCATGCGAACAATCAGGGTTCCGAAAAGGATTTAGTACCACAGACCACATCCACACGATCACAAGACTCATCAAAGTTTCACCAGATACAAACTATCGCTCTGTCTCACTTTCGCCAATTTAGAAAGCCTTTGATTCTATGGAAACTGAAGCAGTTATAGAGGCTCTGGATAACCAGGAAGTCCCTGCTCGGTATATGACGATCCTTCGTGAGCTATATTAAAAACAACAATATCACCATCGACGTAAGAAGAGGGGCTCAACAAGGCGATACAATTTCGCCGAAATTATTCACTGCTTATGCGAACGTTAGAACTGGGACGACATGGGAGTGAAAATTGACGGTCGGTGATTAAACCATCTTCACCTTGCTGATGATACCGTCCTCATAACACCAAGTATCAGTCATGCGGAACGAATGTTGACCAATTTCGACAACGCGTGTGGAAAGATCGGCGTTCAACTAAATTCAGCGAAAACTATGTTCATGAGGAACGGACGGGTTTTGAATGCCGCATTTACGCTCAGCGAAACGGACATCTCCGAATGCTTCATTTATGTAGGTCTAGGTTATGAAACCAACATGATGAACGACCTAGCCCCAGAGTTGAGCAGGGTAAACGAGTGATTCGGGACGCTTACGAGCATGGACGATGTAAAGAAGAGGACAACAAACATGTGACTCCGTGTCAACATTTTCGACTTGGCGATCATCTCTGCCCTAGTGTATGCAGCAGAAACCTGGCCGCTACGTATGCAGGATGGCAGGATGAAAGCTCAGTTGGCGTTATTGAATGCGCAGTCAAGGCCGATGCTAGGGGTATCCCGTATTTCGCAAATGAAAAGATCCGAAGTTCCGACGTAAGTCAACGGTTGAAGATCAAAGACGCCATTCCACACACGAGGATATCGAAAGTAAGGTGGGCCGGAAATGTGATACGCTTCATCGACAACCGATGAACGGGGGCCGTTACCGACTGGATTCCTCGGGACATCAAACGCTCTACATGTTGACCATCGACCCGATGTTAGAAAAAAGACATGATGTTCAACGAATCCCTAAAGCGAGAAGACCCACTAGACTACTCTTGCACGCGATAGGGAAAAATGGAAGTGTTGCTGGTGCCTGCTTGAATCACTCGACGACCAACGGGACGACAGGTGATACAGGTGATGAAGTATCAGCAGAGCAGCGGCCAAATGGTTATCGTGCTCGTCGCGGCGTGCCTGGAGGTGAACTCGGCCCCCAAGGCTCTCCGCCCAGTCAAAAACGAGCCTTGTACGGAACGCCACTGCCAGGTTATTCTCGAGTTGCAACAAAACTCGTTCAGCTAATATTTCACGATGTCCAGGAAAAAGACGAAAAAGTGAAATGAATGCTAGGAGTGTTAGGACCAGCAGTGAGAAAAAACTGTGAAGGCGGATTATAAAGTCTCTAAATTGAAAAAGGGGGCAGTAGTACGAATAGGGTTTTGGGAAGGCGAATTTGTCAAAGCGTCACTCATCGTCTTTAACTTTTTGGGGACGACGTGCATTTTGCCGAATGGCTGACATCACGGGAACTTACGCTATCGACTAATTACTACGAGTATAAAGAAAGAGCTCTGTCCTACAATAAAAACATGTATGTGGAGTACAAATGTTTTCTTTTTGTCGAAGCGTTATAAAAGAGTCTTATCATAAACCTGGCACGTATCGCGCTAGCCAGAGACTTAGCCTTTTCAATGATTACTAAAACTTTTATGAGAAGTTTTTGCTCAGCCAATGAGGTTGAATATTTATTTGCCGCTGTCTAACAAATAAAAACCCAGTTTACCGCTTCGGAGTGATGGATGGCATGGTGAAACTGAGCGCGAGATCGAACCATCAACCTTGTGAGACACGCAGGGCACTCCTAACCATTGCTTTACATGCGCTTCATGGGATAAAGATTAAGGAAGTTATATGGAAACGAATGGGAACTCGTTCATGACGTTTAACGAGGGCCGAGGAAGAGAAATCTTACTGAATGATGTCATGATGGAAGTCCAGTGGCGTTAGATTAGATACGGAAGTGCTTTGATAACGTTTGTCGCTTGGAATATTTCAGTGAACGTTATACAATGTGTATATCACCAGTTTGGTCATGTATATG